TCTGAATGATAGATTATGTTCAAAGGTGAAGATAATCGAATGAGCAAAGTATAAAACACTATTGAAATTTCCCCTAAGTAACAAGGTTGAGGGTACTGTTTTGAGACATAATCTCATATAATAAGGTAAACTGACTAGTAAGATACTAAGTGCATCCGTTCTTAATTACACTGTTCAATTCTGAAATAAGATCACTGCGTTGGTAGCAAAACCAAGTCAAGAACACAAAATTTCCAGTAAAAAAACAAAAGTTCATTTAATTTTGCTAATGGCAAAATGCTGGTTTGTTTTGGCAAACAGAAATAAGTATAGTTATAAAAGAAAAAACACACCATAACAATGACAAAATGTAGTGCAGGAAAGCTATTCAGATAAACTGTGGGTACATCCAATACGTGAATGAAGAGTCCCCTTAACTTTTCAAATAATCGTTTCCCCTACTTGGTTTATAAAATTCTTGAAAGGTAAGTTGTATAAGGTGCACCTATTCACGTTTATATGCTTGTTTCCTCCATTCAAAGCAGAAATTCTAATGGGCGATTGACTGGCTTATTTATTTATTTATTTATTTATTTTATCCCCCAGGACTAGACTACTGTGCCAAACAGAATAAAACCTCAGTAAGTATTGATTAAATGATTATCCCCTATGTCTGTGGTTCTTAACCTGAGGGAAGCTTCAGAAATATCCCTAAGGGACATTTCAAAACTAAGCCTGTTCCCAGATAAAATAATTCAGCAAGTCTGATAAGACCCCATGTACCCATATTCTTCAAAAATTCTGCTAAACGTTCTAATGTATAAAGATAATTCATGTCAAAACTCATATACACAACACATATAACAGAATGCAAAAGCCAATCTAGAATTTGAGAATTTAATCTGAACTATTTTTATCTCAGTACTAGGTACTGTTTTCTTTGATAGAAAGACATAGTGAAATGCTCTGAGAAATTCTTAAGAATTGACTGTATCTTGGATAACCAGTGGCACTAGAACTCATGAGTTAACATATAATCTAGTGCAAAGTATATCTAAGTAGTTTTCCCCCCAGTGCTAGCAAGTGTTCAACTTTTTGTACAAGAAAAACTAGAATTAACACTGTAGATGAGCATGATGAAACCAAAGCACATGGTGTCAAAGTTGTCATCCTTATTCAAATTAAATATCGAAGTCATTATATGATCAGCATCCCTACCACTAAACTGTCCTACAAATTAAGTAGGTTCTTGAGGATCTTAAAAGAAACACATCCAATACAGTGTATTTAGCTTATAGGCTCATTGAGGACAAGTTTAAGATACCCCTAGCAATCAGCTGGGTCACATGGTAGTTCCCAAAGTCCTTGAAGAGAGAAGCCAAAAAGAAACGCACTCCTACTTTCAAAACTTGTTACCTAAAATCTTAATTCACAAATTAACTATAACGTTAAGAGCAAAATTAAATCCCATTTAAACGCGAAGTGGGAGAGCAGAGCTTACTTCAGGTAGCCAGGAGTGCTACTTGACATTCTCTTACCTGACTAGAAAACAAGAAGTGGAATGGTTCAAATATCAGTACAGAATAGAGGTTAAGAGATTGAGCTCTTGAGGTAGACTATCTGATTTGAATCTCAGTCACTCACTAGCTGTGCGACTATAGGCAAGTAATTTAACCTCTCTGTGCCTGTTTCCACATGCATAAAATAAAATGGTAAGAATATCTCACAGGATTGTTGTGAGGATTGAGACTCAGTCAATATTCATAAAGAGTTTACAAAGTGTTTAGGACATAGATGCTAACATCTAGCTATTAGAAGCAGAATGATACATGCCAAACAAAAAAACCACTCTTTTTGAATACCAAAAATGTGACATGACAGTGTAGTGATTAAGAACACACTGTGGAGCCTGACTGCCTAGATTCCAATCCCGACTCTGTCATGATATGACCCTGGGTGGTTTTTTTAACCTCTCTGCATCTCAAAGTTCCTAATCTCCAAATGGGGGCAATAATTGTACCTATTTCCCTGGACTGTTGTAAGATAAATGAATCAATACAAGTGTTTCAAACAGTTTTGACACACTGCAAGCACTCAAAGCATGAGCTGTTCTTTTAGGCTTGGTTCACATTATATTTTATGTAAAGTTCTCTTTAAATGTCTCCCCAAACTCACATGCTGTAGTTATTTTAATGGTAGTAAAATTTTCTGACTCTCAAACATCACCAATCAACTTGGGAGTATTTTTAATTATTGTGTTTAACAAATAGCTTGTAAGACCAAACTACAGCTTATCCAAATGAAGAATACAGCAAAAAATAAACAAAATAATAATAATGTTATTTGATAAGGCTGCTTGGTCTAAGAACTATTCAAACAAAAAAGAAATTATAAAAAATAAACTTTAGAAAAAACAAATTCAAAGCCTTGATCAAATGAACAACCAATAGTGAGATATTCCAATGAAAAGCTTTTTATTAAAATGAGAAATATTCATGTCTTAATATTTGAAATTTGAGGGCTGCAAACAATAATTCAAAATAAAGAACATCAATGCCTACTCGACTTCATATTTCTAGAACAGAGGTGCCTAAAATAAAAAGCATCTCCCATCAGTTGTTCACTTGCTAAAATTGTCTGGACGTGGAATTTTTTCTTCTTTTTTCTTTTTTTAAGTTTAATGGTGTGATTCTGACAATAACTGCTGAAAACCAAACAACACGTGCCAAAACTTTTCTATAGATTAAATCAATTAAGTCCGAAATAAACACATCTTTCCAATTTGGAAAGTGTCATAATGTCAAGTTTCTGTATTATAAAAATCTAGTATTACCAAAGAGTAGAAGACTAGAAAAAGTTTTTGAAGATTAAAAAGTGATATTAAAATAGCAGTAGTAGTAATCTGAGTGTCATGTGCGGGGTCAGGGGGAGGGTCCAAAGCCACACATTAACCTATTTAATCCTAAAAAACAACCAACCAAAAACTAAAATTTGTTTTGCTCACTGGGCATCCCTAACGTCTAGAATAGTGTCTGGTATACACTAGGTACTCAACTGTTTATTATTCATATAACACAAACGTTCACTTTATAGAACACAAATAACTTGCCCAGTCCTAGAATTCTAACTGGAGCATTTCTGCTCCAAAGTTCACACTCTTAACCATTATACTGTCTCTCTAGAGCTTTTAAATCATTAAAGTGGTGTCACAGCAGCTTGGTTATCACCTGTAAAAGAAAAAAAATCAATGAGACCTTCCTTTAAAGTATTCTGTTCCACATGGATGAAAAACTATGGATTTAAATAATTCCACATCTTAGTGGCCTAAATTAATTCCCATAGATAAAAAAGGTTTTGATTTGTACTAAATGTTATGTTTTTTGTATTAACTATGACATAAAATATAACTATTCTTCTATGTGTTGCTCGCCTACAAAGTGGTCACAGAAAGGGGTGTTTAAGTAATCCCTAAGTCTTAACTCCTAAAATGTTTTTCTTTCTCTCATTTTCCATCTTCTCTAATACAAAGATTTAAGTTTATATTTCACACAATGACAATGCAATGATAGCCTAAAACAAAATCCCAGATTTCAGCATCAATACACTGAAGATCTAAACCTCCATTTTTATATAAAATACCAATAAACATCAAAGTTACACGCATTAAATAAATAGAAAATGAAGCATCAGGTCTATTTTGGTAAATAAAGCTAAGTCCTTGCCATTCCTTTTATGTATACACTCCTTAAAAAAGTAACCTATCAAAACCAAAGATTCTAACTTACAATCTCCTGTCTCCTAGTTTTAGTAAGGCTGAATTTATTCCATGACATTTTTTTCAAGTTAGCTGTAAATACTCCACCCTCCTCGATTGTGCAAGAACCAAACACACCACATATACACAAGTTACAAAAAAGGGAAATATGGTCTGAGAGTTTGAATATAGATAAGTCTTGAGCAGGAGGTTTCAGATCTAGTGTACGACCTGATATAAAAGTTAACATTTAACAAAGAATATTATTTTATATTATTACGAAAGGATATGCCGGAAAGAGCCTGAACCAGTTAAAGCAGCCGCCATCTTAAAATGCGGGATAGAAGTTAGAGCAAGAAAATGAGACTAAACCACCGGAGGTGGAGGTTCCGCTCACCCCGAGACTCGAAATATCCTTTTTTTCAACTTATGTCGATAGTTTAGTATCACGTTTTAAGTAGCCAAAAAACCTTCTCCGAGGGTATTATTAAATGGGCTAAGACATAAATAGGTACACCTAACCTTAGCTTTACTGCCATCGCACCCCTTACCACCCTCCAATTCCCCCCTCCGCCACCCACCCCCCGCGCCAAAAGAGAAAGGGAGCTTCCAGAAAGCTTTTACATCAGTTCCCAGTGTGCTTCTGATAGCTTCGGGTGAAAAACCTGAACCAAAGTAAGTTGCAACACTGTGTCAGCCCATCTCCTCCCAATCCCACTTATTCTGTATAACTCGCCCAGTGATGAAGTTTCTGACTTGACTCATTCACTACTCTTCGGCTGGCAAAAGACTTCTACCCCAAGCCCTAATAAAGTTCGGGACTCGCCGGATTTGTTATCCTCTCCCTGCTTCCTACCTTTCTTCCCCCTAGACGGCCTGGAACCTTGATCTTACAACTAAAATAAGTTTTCAAGCACCGAATAGGAAGCGCCATGACATCTGCCGGAGTGTCTCTCCGCAATTCTGACCCACAGAGGACTAACTCTTCCTTTAGAAGCAAAACCAAGGCCCCTGAAATCACTCCCCCTCACCCCGAATTTGTATCGATTCCACTGAAATACTCAAGATAACACTCGACTTGCCACAAGTTCTGTTCCCTAGCTTTAAATCTCATTTCTTCACAAAATATATCCGCGCCCCCCATCCCCCAATGGAAGAAACGACGCAAGGAAAAACACTTTCATAATTATACTTCCCCCACCCGATTCTTCCTCCGGGCCTGAGCCTTTCCTCCTATGACCCCATCCCCTTCAGTCCCATGAGTTACCTTATTAATCCGTTTCAGCGCCATAGTCTGTGCTTTGCGTCTGGTTCACTATCTCGGTGTGTGCTCAAAGGTCCGGACAAAACTCTTGATTATCCTGGCGGCAGGGAAGGATTGTCTCTTCGTCTCACACCGGCTCTGCCAGACACAGGCGCCTTTTGCAAAAATGGAGCAGATCAGCACTCGCACAGGCCCCGGAGAGCCCCGATGAATCCAGGTCCCTTAAAACGGTCGCGATCCGGGGTGGGTGGGGTGGCGTGGCAAGGCCACCAACAGCCTCTATGCCGTCCTTCGGCCCGAAGAGGGGGCGAGAGTGACGGGAAGAGC